GATTTTTCGAAAATACTCCAAATATCTGTCTCTTTCACAAAATAGATCGCTTTTTTTAAAAAAAATTCATTAATTAATAAATTAAACCTTCTAAATAAAATATAACTTTTTTTTTTACTCGAGTTTTAAAAAAAACTAGGTATTTTATGTTTCTTAAAGTTATCATGTACCCATTCAACTTTACTGCGTTACTTTTTCTGTAAGTTAATTTCGCCAATATGATGGATAACTTGCGATGCCAAAGTCACGTGCAAAGAATTCTGTGCAAAATCCTGTCCAGAAAACACACTTTTAAAATGATCATCAGAACGCAAAACGCATGGTTATAAAGTTTAATGAAATCTTTAAATGAATGTTTATTTATAAGCATAAAAAAAAAAAAAAAAAAAAAAAAAAAAAATTCATTTATTTTTTTTTTTTTTTTTTAATATTTTCAAATGCCCTTTTTTTTTTTAAAAAAAAAAAAAAAAAAGGCGCATAAAATTTTTTTTAACTTTTTTTTTTTTTTTTAAAATAAAAAAAAAAAAAATAAGTATAAAAAAAAAAAAAAAATAAATATAACAAAAATGAAAAGGAAAAATCAATGTACAAAAATAATGTAAAACAAAAAATAAATAATCATACCCATATATATAAAATATAACTACAACAAATTTTGATAATCTCAACAATAAAAACATATTTTACATCGAAGTTGTAAAACGAAAAAAAATTTATAAAATGGCAAGAATTGTAAAAAGTAAAATAAAATGATACCGGGCACATTTCTTTTTTTTGAAAAAAAATCATATAAATACATAATATCTATTCTTTCCTCTCCTTTTCTTGTACGAGGATCATAGGTCTCATAAATGGATCTTCCTTCCTTTCTTCTTCTTTTGCACCTCCAACCCAATTAAAAATGCTAAAACGCTTTGCATTTTTAGTACCTGATGAAGAATTTCTTCTTTGTACACGTTTTGGTGCATCACCAAGAGTAATTGTATCTTCATTTGATTTTCTTTCACTTGGTAAGGGATAAATCTTATCAGGCTCTTCAGCTATTATTTTATTGATTGGTGATAAAGAATTTTGAGGTTGAGAAGTGCTACGGAAGTGCAACACAGACACGGTCTTACGCCTTTCAATTTTCTTAGTTCTATTTTCATGGCCTAAGAGGTTATTACTATTATTATTATTATTATTATTATTGAAACTAAATGACCCTGTAACAGGTGTTACAGGACTGGACGCGGATGGTTTCTTCCATTCTGATTCAGATGACAAAATTTCTTCAAAACCTTGAGTCTCAATAATACGGTTAAGGATCTTTTCAATATAAAGTCTCAAACACTTATTGGCGTCAGTAAGTGACTTAATTTTATCTTGCAATTCTATAGAACGGAATATTTTAATTAAGTATTAAAGAATATCATATAAACACGTATTAAACCGGTATTAAATACATACTATCAATGATTGTGGTATCACTTTCTTTATGAACGCGTTCGCCATGGTAAAAACTGGTTAACAAAGATGCACGATCCAACTCAGCAGCCAAATCTGTCGCGATTGAATTTTTATTTTTAACTTTATTATCATCATCAATTGGGGGAGAACTCACAGAATCGTTTGTAACCTTTTCAATGGTACCCGTACATTTTTTTTCTGTGTATGTACCATTTCGCTATAGTAAAAAAAAAATGGGGGATTAATGGAAAGTTGTTAAAACATTAAATAGTAGGGTTATTTAAAAGTCATTACCTGCATGATGGGATTTAACATAAATTCGCCTTTCATTGTCTTTTCATGCAATAATAATTGATATCCCTCATTTTCTTCCATTAACGCTTGATTCATGTGTTTCACTTGAGACAATTCATTCTCTAGTTGTTGAATTCTACGCACATGACTCTTGCTAAGGTTCATTGATTCTGTGGTGGCTTGTTTGGCCTTATCAAGCTCGGCGGTTATTTCATTATTACGTCGTTCTATCTCTTTGATAGTTCGTTGAGCACCCTTTAATTCACGAATAGTGGTATAATGTGAAACATCTTCTACATAAATATGTGTGTATGCGTGTACATATATCACAGATCAAAAAGAAAGATGAAAATTGTTAATTATTGAGAAAAAGGTCGAACCACTCGTAATACTTTCTAAATAACACAAACCACGGGGCTGATGTCCCGTTGGTGTATTGCCTATTTGACAACCTAACCGAAATAATGTGAATAACTATTACATCATTGTAATCAGAACTAACCATTTTTCTTTTCTGAAACTTGCTCATTTTGCTGTGCCAAAACATTGATGGTGTCTTGTAGTGCTTTTGCTTGATCAAGCAACTCTGATTCACGTTCTTGCCACACAATCCGATCTTTTTCAAATGCTTGTGTCTGATGAAAAATCCCATATAAAGAATGTTAGCATATACTTTTATTTTCTCGAAAAAAATTTTTTTTTTTTTTAATAAAAAAAGGAGGATCTTTTTACCTCCTCTCGCAATTTCCTTTCCACCTCCCGTTTATTTTTCAAGAATCCAACATTTTCTTTTTTTAACCTTTCTAATTCTTGCCCTTGTTGATATAATTCCGATTCAAGGCGAACGCATTCATTATGGTTGTTGCTGATTTGTTGTTGAAATGATGTAACTTTTTTACGAAGGAAAGAATTTTCATCTGATAATAATTTGTTTTCTTTATGAGTGCGATCGAGTTGTTCGTTTAGCTAATGAAAATTTTTTTTTTTTTAAAGAAAAAAAATATATATATATATATATTAATAAATTTCTGAACGGGTCGAGTTTGTATGCTAAGTTCCAAAAAAAAAAAAAAAAAAGAAAAAATAATTACCGAACAATTTAGATTTTGATAATTGTTCAACTCTTGCTGTAAATCGATGTCCTTGGATATTTTAGACATTTTTTTTTAAAAAGTAATAATTAGTTGAGATTATAAACGATAGTGACGTGTCGGTACGTAGTTGGTACGTAGATGGGGTATGTTTGCGGTCGAAAAAAATAAAATAAAGTAAAATAATAAACTGGGGTTTTTTTTTTAACTTTCTTAACGTTAAGGATTGATTTTTCTCGAGAAAAAATGATGAAAATAATGATACGAATAATAAAGGTACTTTATAGACTTTTTGGTTTTGTTTGTTTCACGATGGTTTCTGATGCTTTTTATATGAGAAACCAAAGGATAAAAATAAAATAAAATAATATAAAAGGAAAGTTTAAGTACTATAAGGCAAAGATAATATTCGGTTATTGTTTGCTGTTTTTATAAGAAGAGATGCAAAATGGCCGAGAAAAACGGCGCTAGTAATATGTGGGGGAAGTAGATTAATTTACTGTGCGTAATATTTAAATTGTAATAAACAGGAGTGTGTCGTCTCAAAATAATCATTAAGTGTGTGCTTAAAAAACTGATACGGTAAATAAAAAAGTCAAACTCGAAACTTTTAAAAGTGGTTTTTGCAGCTACAGTGCAGAAGAAACGTTCCGGCTTGCTATTATTCGTTACCAAAATACAGATCGTTACAGGCAAACTATTGGTGGTGGTTATCAAATAATAATAATAAAATTTTATTAACGTTCTCTATTTTCGTCAAAGAAGGGTGAAAAAAAGAAAAAAAAAAAATAAAAAAAAAAGCAAAACTCTCACCTTTTCCGTTACAAAGGAGAAAATTCAAAAAAGAAGATTGAAAAAAAAAAAATTAAAAACAACGGAACGAGAGCCAAGAGGCACTTAAAATTAAACAAAACTATTTAAGAAATGAAGGGCAAGTATTTATAAAGTCGGGATCTTTTTTAATTCATAAAAAAAAAAAAAAAATAAAAATAAATTTTGATTAGTAGAATAGAATAATACTTCTAAATTGATATATTGAAGAATGCATCTGTCTTATTATTGATTGATTCAATTACTTGAAAAAAATAACTGCAGTGTTCAGTATTTGCGCTATTGCATGGTCTCTAGTTTTGTTACTCGTGTACAGTTAAATATTACAATCCCTTTGCTATATAAATATTTGTATTACTTTCCTCGAAGAGTAGAATGTAATTTGTTCAACCACCCAAAGAGGATACTGGTTAAATATTTAAATTGACCCAATTTATATGGTTAATGAGGTATTCATCGAACAGGTCTGCTCCGCATGTGGAACTGCCTGTAACACGTTCCCATTTGAACTGTCTCGCAGATAAATTTTGAAATAATTTTAGTTTCTTTTCGTGATTGGTTCGGTGAAAGGATTCATCCCATACTTATCTCATTTTATTACCATTGTTAAAATCATTTCAACTGTAGTGTAAGTTTTTGGTAATTCGTGATTTTTGACCGAATTTAAAATGTTAAATCTGAATGACCTTGACCTTGTAAAGTTTTTCATACTGTATATAAATGTAAGGAGATATCTGGATGTGCATTCATTCGAATAAAAAATGATGATATGAATTTATTTTTAAACCCAAAAAAAAAAAAAATTTCCCTAATTATACTACGACATGCAATCCTTATCATCCTTCGCATCAATTTGTTGAGGTTCACAACAATGAATTTTTATTTTACATTATACATTGCATTCTTTCTTTCCTTTTCTATTTTCTTTCATATACGTCAAATGTATAGTTGATCATTTTTCGACATCTGAACAAATATTAAAAAAAAATTTTTCCCTAAAGCAACAGAATTTAATTTAAAATTTTTTTTTATTTGTTTGCTTATATACAATTGTACATTATTCGAAATAAATATTATATAGATGTTTGAATTAAATGTAATGTTTTACAATCTTTCAAATTACTGCAAAAAAAAAAAGTCACAATTTATTAAACAAAGGATAAATAAATAAAAAAGTTTGTAACAATAAAATTAAGAAAATGAAAAAAGTAATACATATATATATAATAAAAAATAAATTAAGAAAAAAAAAAAAATTTTTTTTTTTTCATCATATCGAGAAAAAAAAAAAAAAAAAAAAAAAAAAATCGAGAAATATTGATTGTTAATTTATACTTATCGTTGTCTTTTACCAATTGTAGACATTAAAACCAATTTTTTCTTTTTCTGCTTTTTACCGACATATATTTCCTCTTCCGGATAATCCCATAAATCTTGTTCATCATCATCTTCGGCGGACTCCTTGGTTTTTGTAACAATGGGAAAGGATACGGCTGGCGTTCCCCATACTGTTTTTGGCCCATTGTACTGATCATCAGGTTTGCTATTTTTACTACCATGTACATTCTCATTAGTGTCGGAAGATTCTTGATTCGCTGTCCCAGATCTACTACCAGATTCTCGGTAAGAATAAGGCTGAAAAAATGAATCGGAGCTAAGCGATTCCTGTTGAATTTCTTTTTGTCGTTCCTTTCGAACGGCCAGTTCATGTGGCCATTCTTCTTTACGTGCCTTTTCTTTGCGTCGATTGTAACGTTGTCTTAATTCACCTTTTGATAATTAGATTTAAAAACCGGTTACATCATTGAAATTCATATGGTAATATATCTGCTAATAATAAAAAATGTACCACATACTTTCAAAAACCTTCAACGAATTATCTGAAACGAATCCTTTCAAATCTACTTCGAGAAAAGTTACGTCACAACCCAAAGGTAAATGACTCAGGTATTTACAACGCTTACGAAGATCCTTTAAAATTAACGATAACGATGTTAGTTAAAAAAATTTTTTATATGTATGATGCTGATGAATTAGAAATGTACCTCGGTCATTGTAGATTCGTCAACGCCAAGAATACGAACGGTGATATCATTTGGGAATTGATTATACGATCCAAATTCTTGTTTCAAGACACGAATATCTAATGGATGCAAATAAATATGTTGCCCATCTTCGGATTGATAATAATAATACATCCTATCGTAAGCACGGGAATCCTTTGTAGCTTTAATCTTGGGCTTTTCATTATGGTCTAATGGGCTTAAATTTGCAATATGGGGCTTATATTTAAAGTCTTCTGGTAAAAAGGGTGGAGGGATGACGTCAGAACTTAAATTAAACGATGAATGATTAATATCCCCATGTGATGTTGCAACTTTATTATCTGCAAAGACCTCATCTTCCTGATAAGAAGTTTCAATTGTATTTAATAAATTTTTCTTGTCTTGAATTTCATTATAATCTGCATCTGCCATATCTAAAATTCCGCGTGCACATTGTTCGGCGTCAAGAGCAGCTTTGGTGGATAATTTTCCGAGAACTTCTAAATGTTCCTATATTAAGTATTCAATTAGTCATGACCATTAAATTATAAAGGAAATCTAGATATTAACCAAATTCAGGGATGTATAGATGTGAGCTGATCATACTTTAACATTGACCATGGCCATTTCAATAAATGGGATTTCTTCGCTTGAATTCCAATTATGAGCTTCCTGTAACGCATCCTCTAAATCGCTTAAATCGCGATCATATTCACTTTGCATGTAATCGATTGAAACAAGTGTCAGCTTTGAAAACGCGAGCGCGTTAGGGGTAAAATACCAAGGGGCTGAAGGTACATTGGTATTGTCATCACGGAGTGGCCATGTTGATGAACGCGGTAGCGCGACAGTCGAATTCTACAATGGGATAAACGTAAAGATGATGTTAAATGTTGCCAAAACACTTTCATAAAGATACGATAAAGTTACAAGTTATACCGCAGGTCGTTGAATGAGTCTCATGGTAAGCATCTCCTCTCCTTTTGTCAATCCACCACCTACTTTACCGATCGTTCTGACGGTCCAAAATCTGACGCTTTTAAGGTCCTTGGAGTATACAGCATCCCAACAAATAGGACACTTGCGCCATTTTTTGTTTGGCCTGTCTTCGTCATCATTCAATTGCAAATAATGAAGAATACAAGCAAGACAATATGTGTGACCGCATTTGGTAACACGAGCTGCGGTTGGTTGTTGCAGACAAATTGGGCAGCCGGGAATGTTGGGATTAGTTATAATCTAATTTTAGATGAATACAACAAAGTTAATCTAATCTCATTCCGCTTAAAATGTAACACGATTTTATGTTGACATACCACTTGCTCGATGTCTTGCCAGTTGAGCAATAGATCTAATGAGAAAGCGTGATTATACGTTTTAAAATAATGTCGAGTATCAATTTGTTAACCACCAAACAGAATAAACCTACCCGGATCAGCTTGATAAACGGTGTAATCACCCATCGATTTGACGAGGAACCTAAAACTACATAAACAACGTATGAATTAGATTGCGAAAATTGCATGATATTGTCGGTTAAATGAATCATTTAATACATACTTTGCATTCAAAAAACGTTCTTTATTGTAAGGTTGATAATTAATTGCTCTCTGCCTTCGAGGAACATTGGCATTAGAACTTTGTCTCGGAGGAAATGAGAAATTCAAAAGATGATTAAGAGAAATTTGTCCTCTCCTGTTGGGAGCACCATAAGCCTGAAATTATCGAACGTATATGTAAGAAAATTATCAACCCGATAACACAAAATTGTTTAAAGAACGAACGACATACTAAGGGATCCTTATCATTCATGGCCATATCACTCAGAGCTGTGGTAACTGTAGTGACAGGAGAATGCGATTCATCAGCTTGACCTGAATCATTCTCGCCAGAGGAATGGCTACTACTTTTGTCTCCATTTTTCACATCAGCATCTGCATCAGATGGATGACGCTGTTGATGATGAGAATGACGATTTTTGTTACGGCGAGAATTATTATTCCTTTTATTGTTAATTACGCTCAAACGGGCTAAATAATTAAAATCATTTGGTCTTTTCAGCATAACGATCGTAAAAATAGATTTGAAAATCATTTATAATGCTTATAAATACCATTTGGATCCCCTTGAGTATGATAATTTTGATTCTTTGGGCCATTCCTTCTCGACTCAGGCTGGAGCGAACTCTGATTCGATGCGACGTTTCGTCCAGTCGGACGTTGAGCACGAGAGATGGGTGTTGAAGGAGGATTGTTTGTCCTCGTAGCCATGTTTTGTGGAACGAATGCACGTGCGTTGGTATTCATGGTGATGTTGACTTTCACAATAATTATATATACGCGGGTTATCAGGTTTTCTTGGAGAAAATAATATTAAATAATTCCAATTGCTTGTTGCAATTATGGTAGCCAAAGATAATACGAAGATAAGTGGGTATAACCAATTTGGTGGATACAACTTGTGATGATAAATGTTGTTTGATCTTTTCCGATTTTTCCACTCAACACGAGTAAGGATCGGAAGTGCAAAAAAGAAAATTTTAAAATAATGAAGTAACCAGTTTCCAAAAGTTCTCTCGGAACTAACAATGAAATTTGTCAATAATAAGAGTAATGTGTGCTCCATTTAGAACAAGTAATTAGATAACATAAAGGAATCCATACTGGGCAAATAAATAATAATAAATAAAATCAAAAAAAAATATATTATAAAAAAGTTATAAAATAAATAATTAAAGATTTGAGATTTTATTTTTTTTTTTTAAAAAAAAAAATAATAATAAATAATAAATATTAATTAAATTATATCAGAAGAGAACAAAAGAAGATTTAAATTGGTTCTTCGTTTTTCTCCTTTGGAAACTGGTATTACTTCAGAAATAAAAGATCTTGACCAAAATCAAACAAAAGTGTTCACGGCTTAAGAATAGAAAGTGTGAAAGAAATAAACTTGTTGATTATTTTTGAGAAACAGAACCTTTTTTTTTTTTTATTGTTGTTTGTGGATTTGGTAAACGCAAGCCTCTCTCTCGAAGGTAAGAACTTGGCAACTGTTCAAGTTCGAAGAACGAAAAAATCTCATGTAAATCCATTTAAATAATACTACTTCGCCTTGGTCACGATTGTGCAAAATTTTTTCATTGGACGATTTTTGAACTCTGCTAGATTTCTTTCAAAGCATCACGTGTATAATTTTATGAAAAAAAAAAATAATGATTTTGAATAATTTGATTTTCTTATTTAATAAATTAAAAAATATAATAAATCTCACATATCGAACATTTGTATAATATACTTATCATAATGTTATGATTCTCGTTTTTCACCTTTATTACCTTTTATTATTAATTTTATTTAATTATTATTATTCGTTGGCTGTTTTCCACGCGCCGACCAGCTGATAAAAAGCGGCAAGCGTACCAAAAATACCGACACCGACATCTGGAAAAGATGATTTTTCAATCGACCAATGAATCTATAAATTTAAAGATTTTAAATTTAGCGCGAGACGATCATGATGAATACGCGGTTGTAAGAAAAAGCACGTGATTACGTACAGTCAACGGCAAATAACTAATATTAATAACCGTATCCCTTATGATCCTCTCTCCTTCTGCTTTAAGCGCCCGTTTTTCTCGCCTGATTTCTTCTTCATCACCATCCACCTTTTTAATCATATCACGCTTTCGTCTTTTATGCGTGCTCCATTCGGAAGCGAGATGCCAAAGTTGGAGGATGACATAAGCCGCCCAAAAACGACAGCTCCACATTCCAATTTTATTCATCTGTGCATCAGACATATTGATGACCTTATGATCCGCAAGCCACCAAATGTGTTCGAGAGGGTAATAAAGGATCATGGTAAAATTTTGAACACGCTCAATATTTAAAAGGAGTGGTGTTACTGGGGGATGATGTTCAATATGGATCATCCATTGAACTAAAGGAAGAAGACCATAGTAGCTTGATATTAAAAGAATGATGAGAAGAAATTGGTTCAGCAAACACACTTTATTTTTTTTAAACAAAAAAAAAAAAAAAATATGAGAACTCACCGAAGGAAGATCCTAAAGTCCGACACTGGGCCACTTAAGTTTGCAATACGTTGGGCCAATGATCCCTTACCAGTACGATTGAAAAACCATATCATAATTTTCGAAAAATACTGAACAAACTACTTGATTTGTATATAAAGATTGAAATTTTGTATGTTAACTACATACGGATAAGCTTGGATTTCTCCTACATCATCAAAGTTCATTACAGCACTTTTATTCCACGGAAAACAAAAAAATTCAATACACAAGACACGAAATCATACCATCAAAACCTTGTCAGTCCCAGATACCGAGTTCAAGAAGTTTACCAGACGGTCAAGACTCGGGTTAGGCTGAAAATTACCGGCCACGGCTAACGGGTTAGAAAGTCGTGTAGGTTTTGAGAAGATGGTCATATTTATTAAGCTCGCGACGATCGCACCACCAACAAATTTTATCAGGAGAAAGAAAATGTATAATTTGAAAGGAATTATTAGCAAACTAAAACATCAACCGAAAATTGTGCTAATAATAGAACTCTGTTCTTTCTCTAGACTTTTTATTCTAATTAACGAAAACCGCAGTTGAAGAAAGCCGGGAACGTTTAGATTGCAATTAAAAGTAAAGTATAAAGCACGAGGACTTTTCAGTCTTTAATCTCAAAAATGACGAGCGTTTCACAAATCTTGCAATCTAATCTCATTATAGTGAAAATCTCTTCTGGGTAGAAAATCACGATTTATAAAATCTTGTTGTTCCAGCCACCTTTTACTATTACTTGGAAAAGTTAGATTCATAAATAGCCTTGTGAGAAAATTACCATAAAAATATCAAAAGAAAAAAAAAAGAGGACATTTTATTGTAAGAAAATAAATAAAATTTTTTTTTATTTTATTTACGAATTTATAGATTCGAAATCACAAATTTAATTCGGAGATTTTTTTTAATTTCTGCCTAAAATTAGCAATAAGAAGTTCTAGAAAATTCGGAGATATAAGAATAAAGTAAACTGGACGAACGAATTCCATTATGGGGGGTTTTAATTTTAATTTCCGTTCGAAGGGGGGAGATGATTATGACAACGACAATTCCTGGTTACTGGGGAAAAAATTCGAAGCGAAAGGGGGAAAAAAACAATTGGCAAAACTTTAAAAGAACATGGCATGCGTCAAGGATACGTCAATAAAGAATTATCGAGAAGGAATCATTTAGGAAGGCTTACTCATTTTAGCATCTCCAAGCGTATGATGAACTGCGCTTTTATTTCTCCACAACAAACATTACACCATTTAAGAAGGTTGCATAATATTTCATGCATATTGACATATGCGAGAGAGAACGCCACCGATGAAATAATGAAAACAAGTAGAGTTAATGCCAAGAAAATCATTTATTTTTCCAATCGCCACTTTTCGGTTATGGAGGCACTAGTGAAGTACGTCATATAAATATTACAAAGCTGAGTTCTGAGTCCACTTTTGGATGGAAAACTCATAAACTTGTGGATAATACTCATAACCTTGTAGAAGGAAACAAATTCACCTGAAATCGCTTAGTATGTGAAATATAGGGTATAGGGAAAGAATACCTTAAAAAACCATAAATGGTGTATTATTTTATTTATTTATATTATGCTTACATTATAAATATGAAAATTTCACTATCAGTTTCAAACATCAAACTAACAATTTGAAAATCACAATCAAAAAATAATCGATAATCGTAAATCGTAAAATCAAATTGTAAAATCCGATTTCCGTTTCGTTAATGGGATATACAATCTTTTATATCACAATTCACACAAAAAAAAAAAAAATTTCAAAATACGAACTTATTTAAGGAAGACACATAACATACAAATAAAAAGATTTTTTCTTTTTTTTTTTTTTTTTTTTTTTTTTTTTTTGATAATAATATAAAGGGCATGACAATGAAAACTTTTGTTCTCTTTTCGTGAAACCAATTTTTTTTATAAACAAGATAGAGATCGCAATTTCTCCCATGAACATATGCCATTTTACGTTATGCAGGATTAAAAAAAAAATAAATAATAATAATAAAAAACATGTGTGTCATATAATAATGGTGTTACTAATTTCTTTGGAAAATAATAAATAAACTAGAATTCCCTACATTCTTTTTTGTCATGTGATGAGCAGTTTATCCGATTGGACATCTGTGGTACGGTTCCCAGACCTTTTTTCTTTATATTTCTGATCCAGTACAATTAACATGGTTATTATTATTATCCATGTTCAAATCACAAATTTTTGGCATTTTTCACTAACCCTTTCACGGTCAACATGGTCATTTGGCAATTCCCTATTGTACATTTACACACTTTACGATGTGCAAAATGTTTTTTGCCCTTCTTTTTTTTTTTCATCATAGTTCCAAGTTGAGATCTTAGTGTCGCTACCCACGCAAAAAAAACCATTTATGGTAACCATGGTTTACGAAATTCCACTTAAAAAAAACAAAATTAATCGTCTGGTTTAAATATACCCACAAAGTGGTGGTACAATTGGTAGTATTGTGTCTATTACCCAGAGGTTAGTACTCTAGCCAATTCTTCCAAAATTGTACTTACATTACATCATGATGATCTAAATTCTAAATTTTACTTTAACAAACTAATCCATATATTGACTTTTCGTTTTAGTATACAAAAAAAAAAAAAAAAAAATTTTTTTTTTTTATACCATCTATTCTACATATTTGATCAAATCAGATTTTTATTAAAGATCCATCTATTTACTCGTGAAAAAACAGATAAATACCCATCGTTATTCAAGGTTTGAAAAAGAAGCATCTTTTTCCTAAAAATTTTCTCCATTTTACAAAAAAAATAAGCTATAAAAAAAAAATAAATTACATATATAAATAAGGAAAACTCCTCTTTTTACGTCTTTATTAAAGCTTTTTATATCTATATCTATATATATAATATATTTATTTATTTTAAATTTTAAATTCTAAAATATTTATCTTCAAAATAAAAAAAAGAGAACCTTTTGCGAAAATATTCCCAATTGTTTACAGTTATTATCAAGTCTCTCTCTCATACTTGTTACGACAATTTTTTTGGCCTTTTTTTTTTTCTTCTCGTTTGATACCATAAAACTATTAAACTTTAACTTGCCGTAATGGAATCGTGGAACACTTACTCTCAAACCTCACATGGAACACCCAGTTCTACCTGGTTGTGTCCACAAAATAATTCGCATGGTTCAGATTGGTTGCAACCTCAGAACAATTCTTCTATTGAGCGAGAACGTAATGAGAGTAAGTTGCGAAATGCTCCCTTTTCACTTTTTTTTGTTATTGTGAATTCTAATTTTTTTTTTTTTTTTTTTTTTTAAAAAAAATAGACACGGCCCTGGCTACTCCGACACGTTTTATGATGGAATATAATGAAATGAATCAAACTTCTACGACAAATCCTTATTTCAGTCCTTTCGCTCAAGAAATGGACAGACTCTTTGACTTAAAAATTGGTAATCAAGAAGACTTGTTAAATAACAGCGTGTACAGCAATGAAGATTTTTCATTTTTGAATACGAGCGAGTCCATTGTCCCCGTTTCAACCTCTACCATCCCTATTTCCAATACCACATCAAACAGAAACCTGATAAATTCCCCCACTCCAAGCCTCGTCACGGATGACGACCAAGATCAGTTATATAATATAAATGAACAATTGGTTCAGTATCCCATTGTCACATCGTCGTCTTCATTCATCTCATCAAATTACATCGCTGATGATCAACAAAAGCAGCGTCAAATTCAATACCCTACGCCTACGTCAGTTTCTTTCCCCCATTCGATTTCTGATACGACTGAAAATAATATTCAAAAGAATCAAAATGAACGACAAACCTTAACCTCGTCTAAAAGTTCCGTTTCATCGTCACCCATTTCTCAATCTTCTTCACCTGTCGTCGTTAATGAATCTCATAAACTTGTCCAACAAAGTACTGAACGAGAACAATCAGCTAATTATTCCGTGAGATCAACGTCTTCATTCTACCAATCTGATGACAAGCAAGACTTATATATCCAAGGAGTCCGGCAACGATTATATCCTTCCATTAACGATACAATGTTGTCGGCCACTCCACGAAATCTTGAAAATCGGGATCAATACTTGCAAGCAAAAAAGCATGATCCAAAGCAATTGCTTTTACCTTTGACGGTCAGCAAACCTTCAACAGACGTGATTACGATCACTTCGCCTTCTTCAAGCCTCGCCACCGATGATGATGAAATGGAAATATCCGAACAAAGGAGGAGTAATCGTCAGAGTGGCTATCAAGACTTCCAATTGAGTATCTCTACTAATGACCTACCGATGCAACAACCTTCTCCTGCGTCATCTGAATATTACTCGAGCAATTCGAAGACGCCACCTTCCTCTCATGACACCACTCCGAAAGAAAAGAAGCGTCGTGCATCACAAAAAAAGATCAATAGTAAGAGACCTGGAAAGCTTCACGATGAAACGTTAATCACTCCAATCGACGAATCCCATTCTGATATTCAAGAGCAAGCTCTTATGGCCGCAACATCATCCGAACAATCATCTACGGTTATTGTGGCAGCTACTTCTACCGAGACCAATGAAGGCTCTTCCAACACGAATTCGAACTCAAGCTCAACAAAAACATCATCCAACATGGATACGTCATCAGGAACATCATCCGCTGATCTTGACACCTCGACATCTTGTATTGGCGTCAAAAGAAATTCTATAGATGATGGTCACGACGAGACACCCGAGGAAAAAAGGTCAAGATTATTAGAAAGAAATCGAATTGCAGGTAAATACACATTGTTTTTTGTCATTGTCATTTTAGTAAAAAGAAACATTTTAATTGTTTATTGACCCTCCTTTTCTTTTTTTTTTCCTTAGCTGCAAAATGCCGTCAAAAGAAAAAACAAGCTCAAGAGAGCCTCCAACACCAAGCGTCAGATTTGACGCAAAAGAACACGGGATTGCACTCGGTTGTAAACGATCTCAGAGAGGAAGCTTTAAGATTGAAAAATCAGCTGCTTGCTCACAGCACTTGTAATTGCAACGTCATCCAAGAATATGTCCGAACAAGTGGCCAGTTTGCTTTTGCCCGGGCCCCATTCACAAAATAAATTTATGGCTACGGGAAAATGAATTGAAGTAAATAATGAAAAAAAAAAAATTATGCTAAAAAACTTATTAAAAGAAAAAGAAAATTATTAATAATAAAAAATTATAAAGCTTAATAATAATATAATTATGAGAAAGATAAGGGCCAACGGTAGATGAGAAATTAATAGCAAGTCTGTCATATTTGCAGGCAAAGATGGCGATTAAGAATATTTTATTATAAATTTTTTTTATTTTACGCGGTAATATGCCTTTTTAATTAATTATAAGTTTAATAACATGAAATATTGGGATGTTTCTCTCCTAAACCCTTTTTTCTCTATGTAGATAAAGTACATAAAAAAAAACTTTTTGGTAGATATTATTTCTTCCCTTTTCACATTTTCACAAAATTATTCAAAATTAGTATAGTTATCGTTTATTTTTTTCTTTAATGTAAATATTTTCCATTTCTTTTTGTTCGTTGGACGAACCAATAAAAAAAAAAAAAAAAAAAAAAAATTATTTTGCTATTAAAAAATGAAATCTTTTCACTTAAACAATAAAATAGAAAATTCAAGTAGTCCACCCGGAATATTACACGGGGAAAACCGGAGAAAATTTCGAAAGGGTTTCTTTAAATCCTTGAGAGTTCGATGAAAAATCGAGATTTCACTCTTGACGATCGAATCCAACCTCTTTTGACAAATGCATCTCTTGCAATTATCTTAACGAGCTATTTGTTTT